TGACGAGGGACGAGCACGAGGGGGACGAGAGGTCCAAGTGTGGGCGAGAGGAGAGGGAGACGGAGGAGACTGAGAACGAGGGAACACAGCCGGAGCGGAGTCCGGAGGAGGAAACGTAGGACCGAACACAAGAGGAGAGGAGGGGAGACCAAGGGCCCGAAGGCCATAAACAGGGGCCGGAGGCTGCTCCGGCTGCTGCTGCTGCTGCTGCTCCCGCTGCAACTCCAACCTCTCACGCTCCACCCGCTGCTGAACCTCCGACCTCTCACACTCCAAACGCTGCTGCTCCTCACGCTCTGGACGAAGAAGGGTCTGGTAACGAGTCGGGTAGGGGTGAGGAGGAGGAGTGGTGTCAGGAGACGCAGCAGAAGAACCGGCTCCGTCCTCGACAGTACCCGGATGAGCACCCCCAGAACGAGTACCTCCCGCGGTAGCACGACCAGCACCTGTAGGAGGTGTACCCGCACCCCCAGTCGTGGTGCCTCCAGTGGCACCAGCACCAGCCCTAGACTCTCCAGCTCCAGAAACACCACCAGCTCAAACACCACCACCAGCTCCAGTACCTCCGGAACGGGCAGCTGCGGCAGGTGCACGCTCGGCGCCAACGCCAACACCCCCAGAACTGGCTGCTCCTGCAGGTGCATGAACAGCTCCAACGCCAGCACCCCCAGAGCGAGCACCGCCAAAGCCCTCACCTCGAGCACCAACACCCTCAGAGGCCGCAGTGGCCGGTAAAGGAAGGGCTGACGTCTGCTGCGGAGGTGGTGAGGACGACTGTGGGGAAGGAGGAGAGACCTGGGGGGGCACCGAGGGGGGGGGAGTAGCGTGGTACACACCAGACGGAGCGGGAACAGGGGGGGGTAGCGGAGGAGTAGGGGCGGGAGGAGGAGGAGCTGGAGCCAGGAAGAGGGGAGGGGGGGGAACCGGGAGACCTCGACAGGGGTACCGGACGTAGTAGGGGACAGACTCGTCGAAGCGGACGTCACGAGAGTCAAAGAACCAGTGGGAGGGAGGGTGGTAAAAGGTGAAGTCAGAGGAGCCCTCTGAGAAACCAAGGAAGACACAGGGGACAGCGCGAGGCGAGATCTTGTACGCAGAGGTGTCGCGGACAAGAGCCAAGCAGCCCCAGACACTAAACCTCGACGCAACACCAGGGGACCCTGTCCAAATACTGGTCGGTGAAGCCCCTGGCCGAGAGACACGAGGCCAGAGGTTCAGCTGGTGAGCGGCGTACCGAGCCGCGTAGGGCCACAGAAAATGGGGCGCGCGGGCGTGGATCATGGAGGTGCGGGCGATCTCTATGACCAGGCCTAAGCGGCTCTCAGCAACCCCATTCTGTTGTGGAGAGTCTGGAAGAGTCCAGGACTGGGTGATGCCCTGCTCAGCACAGAATCTGGCGAGAATGCCGGAGCGAAACTCACCCCCACGGTCGGAGTGAAGACAACTGACACGACGACCGCGAGTGCCCTCGGTGGCGAGGAGCCACCGGATCAGCGTAGAATTCACGTCGGACTTCTTCGCCAAAGGGAACACGGTGGTGTATCGAGAGTAGTCGTCAACGACCACCAGAAAGAAACTCTCCCGCTGAGGGCCAAGACGGGGAGCGGGGCCCCAGACGTCTAAGTAGAGAGTCTCAAAGGGCTCGGTGGCCGGACGAAGGGAGGAGGAGTGAGGGGTGGCGAGCAGCCGACCCTGGACACAAGGACCGCACGGAGGAGCTGGGGACGGCGGGAGTGGCGGGAGGACTCGGGGGAGGCCTAAGACAAGACGCTGACTGGACATAGCGCGGAGACGAGGGAGGGAAGGGTGACCAAGGCGGTGGTGCCAGAGGAGGGAGGGGTGGGCAAGCGACCGACACGAGCACAATGCAGCAACTACACCTGACACAGCAACCTGACTGGACCCGGCTACCTGGTGGGACGGGGGAACCTGACGGGGGTCGGTGCGGAGGTTGTACAGACCGGAGCCCGGCTCCTGGCGAAAAGTGGCGAAGGGGGCGTACGTGTCACCGTCCACACAGACCGCGGTGTCACTAGAAGGCTCAACCCAGACCCCGACGTGCTGTCTCGCCAGGGTGCCCACACCAACCAGGTTCCTAGAGAACGAAGGAACGTGGAGGCCAGTCAGGGAACCAGAAGGAGCAGCTGGGCACGGGAGTGTAGTGGCGTGAGTCGCAATGACCGGTCCCGAAGAGGGGTCGGCCAGTGCTACAGGGACAGGCGCCGGTAGCGGAGAGAGAGTCGTGCCGTCACGGAAGAAGCAGTGTGACGCCCCGGAGTCCTTTGTGAAGGAGAGAGAGGCGTCCGCCGAAGGAGTACCTGTACTAGTAGCTAAACAAGATCCAAGAGCACTATAGTCAACATTGGCATACATGGCATATGACCTAGCATCATCCATAGTCATATCAAAAACAGCAATACCACGAGCAAGAAGTGTCCCCCAGCGTGGCGGCGGGGGAGCGGAGGGGCCGTGGTGCAAGCGGTAAAGGTCGTCGAGACGACTGAAGCAGCGTGCAGCAGAGTGGTCGGGGCGGCCACAGTACGAGTCCCGACGAGGACCCGTAAGGATCCAGTACTCACAGGGACCAACGTCGCGGCCGGCCGAGCGAGGTCCCCGACTGGAGGGGGCGCCACTGCGCCCAGTGCTCGGGGGACCCGCAGACCTCCACTGCTGCTAAGGGCCCCACTGCTGCGGAGGGCCCCACAGCTGCGGAGGGCCCCACTGCTGAGGCGGCTGCTGTGGCGGGCGCTGCTGCTGGCCCTGTCGCTGCTGCTGCTGTCCCTGCCGCTGCTGCTGTCCAGGCGGTGGCAGCTGCTGAGGAGTCGACTGCTGCTGCTGCTGGGACCCCTCACCACCAGTGAAAACTCCACCGTCGAAAGGAGGGCCGTCAGGTCCCGAGCCACCCCCACCACCACTCCCACCACCTGCTCCACCGCCATTGCCACTACCCGCACCACCTCCAGTACCCCCGCCGCCCTTCCCGCCCCTCTTACCAGCCTTGCCACGTTTCTGCCCACCAGAGACAGAAACAGCCGCCGTCTCCTCAGAGGCAGAAGACGTGGGGGTGGCAAGTGAGGGAGAGAAGGTGGGAACCTGTGGTACCGCACACCCCTCAAAAAGACGAGGAGGAGGCAACAGTGAGGAGGTTGCTCTCGATCTTCGAGAGAGCAGTCTCAAGAAGATCGATGGTAAGCTCAGTGGGGTGCTTCACAAGAAGCGCGTCGCGGGCTGTGGCTAGGCGGTCAGGGAGGCGAGTGACTAGCCAGTGAATAGTGAGCCACATAGGGGGTGGGGCAAGGGCAAGCTGGTCCTCAGTGCAAGCAGCGCGAAAGCGAGCATCAAGGGAGCGCAGGTGGGTAGCGAGGTCAGAGACACTCTCAAAGGAGGCGAGGTCAGGGTAGATAAAGGGTACGAGGAGGCGACTGAGCGAAGCAGAGGAGGGAGTGGAGTAGCGAGTAACAATAGCCTTATACAGATCTGCAGCAGACTCGACTTGAGCGAAGTGGACTGCCTCTGTTGGCGGGAGAAGGTTGTCAACGGGAGTTGTGTGTTGGCCCCGTCCTCGCTTGGGCGGAGCCGACTTCGTGGTCGGGTGTGAGGGGAGCAGCCGACCTACAGCAGTGGGCGAGCTGGTTGACGAGGAGGTCGACCTGCACGGAGACCACTGTACGGGCGCCGACTTCAGGGTGGCGCCGACGTCAGGGAGGTCGACCTGGGAGGTCGACCTGCGGAGGACGTCACCTTGGTGACGTCAACTTGGGGCAGCCGACTTCGGTGGTCGGCTAACGGATTGCTGGTCGACCTGCTGGTGGTCGACGTGACCTGGTGGTCGACGAAGGAGGGGCCGACGTCGACCTCGATGCAGGACGCCAAGCAGTTGGGCGTCGAGTAGCTGGGCGTCAACTTCGTGACGCCGACTTCGGGTAGCCGACTTGGGTGGTCGGCCGACAACGGCGCTGGTCGACCTGGAGCTGGTCGGCCAGGGGTGTGGTCGACCTGGTGAGGCCGACTGGAGGTGGCCGTCGACTTGGGAGGTCGACGGGCACATACGGGAGCAGCTGGTCGACGTGGTTGCCCGGTCGACCAGGTTACCTGGGTGACGAGGTTCTGCGGAGGAGTGCGACGGTCGCCCAGGCGAAGTTGGCGAGTCCGACCTCGGTGGTAGTATCCCGAGGTCGACGTGGCTGATCAGAGGCAGTCATCAGTGCCAGGCTTACTTGGTGTATGCGCTGTGCAGGTGACGAGACTTTGCACGTCAATCATCTGCGTGCACCTGCGAAGCTGGTGCGATGCTGTTCTGCGGGAGCAGCGCTGGCACGTCGTCAACCTGCAACGTTGGCACGCCGTCGACTTTGCACTGCTGGAGCGCGGTCGACCAAGTCGTGCTGGAACGCGGCCGACCATGCTGTGCTGGCAGTCGACCGACCAGGATGCTAGCTCTGATGTAGTCTTGCTATGCCAACTTCATTGTACCATTGTTGTCAACTTTCTCTAGTGAAACTCTTGCCAATTCTCCCTGTGAACTAGCAAGCTGTGTGTGCACTAGGAAAACGACTAAGGACCAACGAACGCAGAGATCACACGACCACCCGTGCCTAGCCCGTAGTCTAGCTCCCGTTGTAGTAGTTTTCTCCACAAAGGTCGGTCAGGGCGAGGCAGGCAGCGGCGTCACGAGACTCCCACACGTCGCGAGCGAGGAGCTGGCGCTGGTAGTCGGCCTCCTGCTCAGAAGTAGGCGGTGGGGTAGTGGGCAGTGGCTGAGGCTGCGGAGGGGCGGTCTGAGTGCCGGACGCGTGTGCGAACAGGTGCACGCCATCCTGCCGCTGGCTCTTAAGGTGGCGCTGCGCCTGTGTAAGCCACGTACTAAAATCAATGGGTCTCCCTTCAGGATCAAAACGAAGTACTCGGGAGGTCGCCATAGGGGGCGAAACTGAGAGAGCGCGGCTGCCAGCCGCGGGAGGGGGGGAGACAGTCACTAACGTGTGAGCAGGCGCGGAGGCATGCAGACGGGTAGGTGGCGCAGCATGTGGACAGACGGGCGGCGCAGTGCGCTGCCTGCGGGCGGCGCGGCGCGCTGGCCTGCGGGCGGCGCGGCAGGTCGACGGGCAGGCGGCGCGGCGGGTCGACAGGCGGGCGGCGCGACGCGCGGGCCTATGGGCGGCGCGGCGGGTCGGCGGGCGGGCTGCGCGGCTGGTCGACGGACGGGCGGCGCGGCGAGCGGGCCTACGGGCGGCACGGCGGGTCGACGGGCGGGCCTACGGGAGGCGCGACGCGCGGGCCTACGGGCGGCACAGCGGGTCGACGGGCGGGCCTACGGGCGGGTCGACGGGCAGGCCTACGGGCGGGTCGACGGGCAGGCCTACAGGCGGGTCGACGGGCGGGCCTACGGACGGCGTGACGCGCGGGCAGGCCTACGGGCGGGTCGACGGGCAGGCCTACGGGCGGGTCGACGGGCGGGTCGACGGGCGGGCATACGGGCGGCGCGACGCGCGGGCAGGCCTACGGGCGGGTGCGCGGGCAGGCCTATGGGCGGGTCGACGGGCAGGCCTACGGGCGGGTGCGCTAGCGGGCAGCGCGGTGCGCTGGCGTGGCACGATGACGTGGCGCGTTGGCGTGGCGCGGGCTAAGGCGTTGTAGGGCAAACGTGGAGGAAGGAGGCGGCCTAAGTCTAGGAACGGCGACGACTAGGTGAGGCCTAGGAACGGCGAACCTACTGCTGATACCATCTCAGAAACTCAACACAGCGGAATGGGTTCGATTGATTGGGTTGGGGTACAAATTGTTAGATTAGGAGATTATGCAGTACTTAGGTTTAGGAGAGGTTTAGCAAGGAGAATCATGGAGGGAGAAGTTTGGCCAAAAGAGAGACTTTCATTATGAAGTTGGGAGTACAAATAGGAAGGAGAGGAAGGGGAAAAGGGTACACCACCAGCAGTTGAACCTAATATCTAACTAATACACTAGCAAGCTGTAGGCAGTTATAACAGGATATGCAAATATAATTCAACACACCCCCGTAACTGCCTACGGCTATAGCTAGTGGTGTCTGGCACCAGGTCGCCTGGAGAGCGGTTGCTGTAGCTGGGATAGGCACAGAAACAGCGGTGGCTGACCGGCAGCACCTGTGAATGCCAGGACGGAGGAGGGCGCGGAGAGCGCGGAGGAGGGCTGGGATAGCCGGAGGGCGAAGGATGCCGGTCGCTCGCCATCTACGAGCAAACACAACTGTTGGTGAGGAGGAGGAAGCTGGTGGTGGTGCACAGGAGGAGAGCAGAGGAGAGGCGGCTGGAGGAGAGGAGAGAGGAGGAGGAGATGCGGCTGTAGGAGAGGAGAGTGGAGGAGGAGATGCGGCTGGAGGAGAGGAGAGGAGAGAGGAGGAGGAGATGCGGCTGGAGGAGAAGAGGAGAGGAGAGGAGAGGAGAGGAGAGGAGAGGAGAGGAGAGGAGAGGAGAAGAGGAGGAGGAGAGGAGAGGAGAGGAGAGGAGAGGAGAGGAGAGGAGAGGAGAGGAGGTGGCTGGCGCGGCAGAAGCTCTCCCGCCACCCCCTCATCCCCCTCCCCCCCATGCGCTGGCGCTGGCGGAAGTGCTGGCGCTGGGCGCTGGCGTCGCGCTGGCGCTAGCGCCCGCCCTTGGCGCTGGCGCTGGCGCCCGCCGTCGGCGCTGGCGTCCGCGCTGGCGCTGGCGACCGCCGTTGGCGCTGGCGCTGGCGCCCGCCATTGGCGCTGGCGCTGGCGCCCGCCGTTGGCGCTTGCGCTGGCGCCCGCCGTCGCCTCGCTGGCACGCTCGCCACTGGCAGAGCGCGACGGGGCAGGCGAAAGGGGGCAGCGCGACGGGTGCTGCAAAAGCAGCGGATTTCGAGCCAGCAGCGGATTTCGCGCTACTAGCAGTAGCAGCCATGCCAGCAGCACAATAAGTCGCCATGGCAGATCGCGGGTTTGGTGGGCCCATGAAAAACGAGGTCCTAGGAGGGACCACGCTCTGATACCATGTTAGATTAGGAGATTATGCAGTACTTAGGTTTAGGAGAGGTTTAGCAAGGAGAATCATGGAGGGAGAAGTTTGGCCAAAAGAGAGACTTTCATTATAAAGTTGGGAGTACAAATAGGAAGGAGAGGAAGGGGAAAAGGGTACACCACCAGCAGTTGAACCTAATATCTAACTAATACACTAGCAAGCTGTAAGCAGTTATAACAGGATATGCAAATATAATTCAACACAAATGCTATAACATTTGACAAGGCCCACTTTTTTTTTTTTTTTTTTTTTTTTGGGCGAGCCTATCTGTTTCCCGCTACAATGCCCTAGGACATGCAAATTTGAGGCCAAATGTGCCTCTCTCCTGCGGCAGTTTTTCCCATTCCCCCCCCCTCCAATCTGCGCCAGCTCCCCCATGGCGCAGGTTTTCCGCAGAGCAGTAAATTCAGGGTCAAAATTCGTTGACCCTGGTTTGACGCGCGCCTCACCTTCCCATTACCTTCCTGAAATTTTGCTTCCCCCTGGCTGCTGAACTGGGCCTAGGTCCAAGCCAGCAAAATAAGAATTTGTTGACCATATAACATTTTCAGCCACGACTGCAATTCACTGCATTGAGGGATAATCAATAGCGAAGTGCCGTCTCCTGTATGACATGATCGCCTCCCACCCACCGCCATCATCCTCGTACAAAATGATCATTACACGGCATATCGACCACCAGATCTATTCGATGGCTTTCCCACCAAGACTCTCCTTTTTCTCGCTGTAATGGTCTCTCCTCACTCTTCATCGACTCGCGAATCAGGTGACGCGATCAGACTCAACCGCTCATGCCGAACCTGCGAGACGGTGGATCTATGGCATAGCAGATGACTCCAAGCCATTAATCCTTCCGAACTCTCTCGTCCTCCACTGGTGCAGCTTGCACGCCAAGCAAGCTTGCTACTAGATTTCCGTACTGTTAGGTAGATCGAAGTTTTTTTGCTTTCATAATCCATCGGGTGGTGATTTGCTGAGTGGGTTGTCCTTTTCAGCCAATCCGGTCTGCCAACCCATCCTGGTTGGAGCCGTTTGCTGTCAGACCTCTCATCTCCCCGCCTCGTTTCGCACGGCTCCTCCCCGCGGGCTCGCGAAAAAGTCTTGACTTGCCTCATTTTCCTCTTCAAAAAGTTTGTGTCGAATCTCAGCCTAGATAGTGGTGGGCGGTACAACTTTTTGTTCTGATGGCTGTACGTTCCACGCAAGGCCGCGGAGACCATGTGTGTGACTCGGTTTAGACCGTGTGTCACCGATGTGAGCAAGCGGAGGTAACCAATCAGGTCATATTTTAGGATTCTGCTCGTTCGGGCGGCCGCAGATGAGGAGATGCACTCTGTGGTTGAGATTCCGTTTAGAAAAAGGGTTGGACTGTGTGACGCAGTCTGACTCCCAGCCAGTCAGCGAAGATGCACTCGTGGTTGAGATTCCGTCTCAAAAAGGTTTGGCCTGTGAGCGCCGAGTCCCGAGCCGGGCTCGAGCTCGCGGCCTTCCCGGATTCCGACAACCGCCCGGCCTTTTTGGAATGCTGGACGGGGATAAATGGAGGCATTCGTGCTCTCAGAGAGCATGTTTCTTGAGCATTCCAGGTTGCAAGGATACCGGCAAGTACTGCCATGTTCCAGTCGTCTCTTGCCAAACAAAACCTCCGCCAATCTCACCGGCCCTCCGCGCTCTTCCTCTCCCAATCCGGCTTTCGCGGCTCGCGTTCGATCGCGACAGCCATGGCGCATCGACTCGCGGCGTCCCTGAAGTTACGGCGGGCGGCGCAGCAAGTGATGGAGGGCGTCCTCCCGCGCGCCAACCTCGGCGATACCACTTCAAGTGCGACTAATGGCACCGCCCTGGCAGGAGCGCGAAGTGCCGGGAGTGCGACAGAGCACGCGGAGGCAGCAGCACAGCCGATCCTTGAGCGTGAGGAGCGGCGGCACGGTAGCAAGCATCAGCATCATCAGCATAAGGAGCATGGCACCGCCCACCGCCCTTCCCAGACTGCCTCCTCCCTCTACTCCCGCCGCTTCTCCCGCTCAGCTTCCCTCACTCTTCCCCACCTCTCTTCACCCATTCCTTCCTCACACTCCCTCGCTCTCTCCGCAGGTTCCTCCCCTCCTTTGCCCTCTTCTCCTCCCTCCGCCACGCTCCCAGCTACCGCCTCTGCTTCACGTCCTTCTTCCTGCACCGCGTCTCCCTCGCACTCCCATGACTACCCGGCCCTTCACTTCCCCTCCGCCCGCCCGTCACCACCAACTGGTGCACCGGCCATGCTTGTGCTCCTCCCCAGATTCACCGCACCTGCCCAGCACCCAACCCTAACACACAGCTGTGGCACAAGCCCTCCCGTAAACCCTGTCTCCATTCTGAAAACGAGCCAGTCTTGCCCAGATCATCTGAATTCTACCACCGAATCAAATTGCCTGGCCCGGCCGAGCCTAACTTCCTGCCTGAGCCAAGGCCGAACTTGGCGCAGCCAGAAGTCAGGGGGGACGAGCCCAGAGGAGGATGATTCGGATTTGAAGCAAGCTGCGGGACCGAAGCTGGTGCGGCGTGTGTCGTTCAACAGCATTGTGCGTGTGCGGCGGTTCATCGAGCTTCCTCCGGATGCTGACAGCTACTGCAACGACACTGGTGGGGGTTGTGCCACCGGCCAAATTGCATACAGCAACCACAAGCACCAGCGGCAGCAGCAGCAGCAGCAAAAGACAGAACTCCTTGACTCTCACTCTGCCCCACGTGAATGTTTCAACAGTCACCCTCTTGCCTCCGTACGGCCCCCCTCCGTCCTTTCCTCGTACCCCGTTTCTTCCCCCACCTCCACCTCTTCCCCCTCGTCCCCCTCCTCTCCATCCTCCCAATCTTCCCACTCCTTCCTCTCTTCCCCCTCCTCCCAAACTTCCCCCTCCTCCCACTACTCCCTATCCTCCCCCTCCTCCCCTTCCTGCCCCTCGTACCCCTCCTCCCCCCGTTCCCTCTCCCCCTCCTCTTCCTCGCTTTCGCCCCGCTGCCCCACACCCCCACCTGCCCACATGCGCAAGTGTCTGCCCCCGTCGCCCACTGCCAGAAGGCTGAGAGCACAGCTGAGAGCAGCGGCAGCAAGGCAGGCCAGTGAGCAGCCTGTGGGAGGCACGGGTGGTGGGATCTTCTTCTGAATCTGATGCTACGGGCTGCAGGCACACCACCCACAGCACCAAGGCAGGCCAGCCAGAATCCAATGGGTGCTACAGTAGTGGTGGGATTGACTTATACCGTACGTAACTGATTGTTAGAGTTTTCTTATGCAACACTCAGCACTCACCAAGATTGTTTGAAGTATCTGTGCCTAAATATGTATTACATGTTTTATGCTTAATACCGTAAGGTGTTGTCATATTCTGTACAGTGCACGAAATCAGAAAACGCACAGTTGCACCACTCAACTACCACTCGTCGTCAGAATACATATAGCGGAATGGTGAAAACTACCAGGAAGGAGTGGAGATACAAATTCAACCCTAAGTGTTATACCGTTTTCTCCCCGGATATAGGACCCTCCCGAAAAAAGGACCCCCGGGACTCGTAATCGGTACTGGGACTCTTAATATGTAGCAAATGTGAGAGGACCCCCCTTTTGCTATAAAACAATTGAAGACCCCCCTTTTCTGTATACAGTAGTTCAAAATGAATGCCGTAATCCCCCGTATATAGGACCCCCCCCAGTTGTAGACCCCCGGGTCTATAATACGGACCCGGGTACTCTATTCGAGTACATCTGAGTTATACCCCCTAAATGGCTCCTAACATTATAAGACCCCCCCACATCCTAGAGAAGTGTGGATTTCACATTAATGCAATTGAAAATGGTCATACCCTATGGCCCCGGATATAGGCGCCGTCCGATTAAAGGTGTCGGCGCTTCTATCTGGAGCATGGCGCTTATGGCCGGAATTCGATTATAAGCGCCCCCCCTGTAAACCCCTGTTTTATTATAAGCGCATGCATTATTTTATTTTACAAACCTAATGAAAACTGTAACGAATTTCGAATTTCAAATGAGTCAACACCCATTTTCAATGTGTTTGACTTTCGAAGGCTTCACTTGTTGCGCGTCCAGTCAGGATGAGCTGGCACGCGGGCAAAGTGACGTGCCAAATCTCTACGCACAGTCAGGGAAACACCCTCGCGCGATTCTGATTCAGGACGCTGTAAAAGTTCGATTCGATTGAACTTACGAGACTGAAATGTACAACATGTTGCATTCTTATAAATGTCAATGTGAACAGACACGGGTCTTCTAAAAAATATACCATTTAATTATACCCCCCAGCCTTTTTAGGGGTGATTATCATAATACCCTAGGGTCCTATATACGGGGGATTACGGTATGCGCGTCAGCTTAGAGGCACAGAAATTTGACGCGTCATTTGTGTCAGAATCGGGTTCTGACACACCAATCGTGTCGGATACGAGATCCAACGCTTCTGACGCGCCGCTCGCGCGAATTTCGCGCACGCGAGATTTTTTCGGTTCGAACATAAGACAGTTAAACTATATGTGTTAGTTCTGTGTAGGCTATAGTGGGGTAGCCCATATGGGGTACAACCCAAAGTTAGGGTTAGTACTTGTACCCATATTTTATTCAATGCAACCATTCCTGCTTGCTATCTTGACATGGTATCAGAGCAGTAGGTCCGTAGGACCGTTTTTCTTTCGGGCCCACTGTTAGAATGAGAACGATGGATTCAACTATCGAGAGAGTTTTACAAGTAGGAAAACCCTAAGGGGTTATACCCCACAGAATCTACCCCACTACAGCCTACCAATAACTGCAACATATAATGTATATATGTTTGACACACCCCCATAGGCAAAGTGGGGGAGAGCAAGAGGTCACAAGACCAGTCAAGAAAGGCAAAGCAAGCTCAGGGTGGATCACAACGTCACCACACATTCTGAGCACAGGCAAAGGGCCACAAGGCCAGTCCACATGCAGAGGTATATATGCAGCAAGAACAGTACAGTGATCTCTACCTGCTGCTGCTGCTGCTGCGTCTGCTGCTGGCCCTGACCACCACTGCCACCACTGCTCCCTCCTCCCCCACCGCCGCTGCTGCCACCTCCACCGCTCCCAGTGCCTCCGCCGCCCCCACCACCACCTCCACCACCTCCACCCCCACGACCACCTCCACCACCTCCACCTCCCCCGCCGCCTGCACCACCGCCACCTCCACCGCCACCCCCACCTCCCCTGCCACCCTTGCCGCCCCTGCCGCAGCGACGCTTCCCACTAGGAGCGGAAGCAGCCCCGACCTCCTCAGCGCCAAGGTAGTCGTGAGCAGCAGCTGCGGAGGCGTAGGAGGGGGTGAGAGGGGAGGGGGAGCACCCCTCAAAGAGGGGAGAGCGAGGAGTACCACGAGCAGCACCTACAGCGAGGATGTTCTTCTCTGCTGCGAGGAGGTGCTTCTCGAAGTCGTCGACAGTGAGAGTGGGGGGGTCTAGCACTAGGAAATGGTCCCTGACGGAGCTAAGAGTGTCAGGGAGGCAGGTGACGAGGAAATAGAGAGTGAAGTACATCGGGGGGGGGGGGGGGGTTTGGCGGCGCAGAACTCGGCTGAAAGGGCGGCACGAAAGCGAGTGTCAGTAGCGCGCAGGTGGGAAATGAGGTCCTCAGTAGTGGTGAACGAGGAAAGGTCGGGGAACAGGTAGGGTAGCATGAGCCGACCTATGGCTGCAGTGGCCGGGGAGGAGTAGCGCGCAACTACAGCGTCGTACAGTGTCTTAGCAGTTTTGTGCTGACTGAAATGCGCGCGCTCAGTAATCGGCAGATGGTTCCTAATAGCTTGGCGTGCAGCAGCATCGTGAGTCTGCCACTGCGAGCGTTCGAGAGCAGGAGCATCGGCAGCAGCAGCAACGGCAGTGCCAGACACGTAATCGAACAGTGAAACGCCCTCTTTGGCATCGGTCAGAAGGAACAGTTGGAGATCGTCGAGCCACACAGCGAACTCTATGGGGCGACCGTCAGGCTTGAACGCGAGAACATTAGGTGTCGTCATAACGGCAGCAGGTGTCAAACATTATATGTTTATATTGTGTAGGCTATAGTGGGTTTAGCCTTAGGGGGTACAGCTTTGTTAGGGTTTCCTACTTGTATCCCCCTCCTACCTAGTTTCATGCATTCTCGTTCTATTCTAGATTCTAACATGGTATCAGAGCCTAGGTTGCTACCTAGGACCGCTTTCTACTATGGGCCCACTATTCCGCTAGGAGCGCCCTCGTGCGCCTTTCTCTGCTAGTGCGCCTTCGTGCGCCCTCGTGCGCCCTCGTGCGCCTTTCTCTGCTAGTGCGCCTTCGTGCGCCTTCGTGCGCCCTCGTGCGCCTTCGTGCGCCCTCGTGCGCCCTCGTGCGCCTTCGTGCGCCCTCGTGCGCCCTTGTGCGCCCTCGTGCGCCCTCGTGCGCCCTCGTGCGCCCTCGTGCGCCCTCGAGCGCCCTCGTGCGCCCTCGAGCCGCCCCTGCAGGTCCGTCAGGCCCCCGAGCCGCCTCTGCAGACCCGTCAGGCCCCCCCCGAGCCGCCTCTGCAGGCCCGTCAGGCCCGAGAGCCGCCCCTGCAGACTCGTCAGGCCCGCGCGCAGCCTCTGCCCGACCGCGCGCCGCCCCTCCAGGCTCTCGCCGCCCGCCGCGTCGCCCTGCCCGCGGCGTCGCCGCCTGCCCGCGGCGTCGTCACCTGCCCGCGGCGTCGTCGCCTGCCCGCGGCGTCGTCGCCTGCCCGCGGCGTCGTCGCCTGCCCGCGACGTAGCCCCTGCCCGCGACGTCGTCGCCTGCCCGCGGCGTCGTCGCCTGCCCGCGGCGTCGTCGCCTGCCCGCGGCGTCGTCGCCTGCCCGCGGCGTCGTCCCCTGCTCGCTGCGTCGCCCTGCCCGCGGCGTCGCCACCTGCTCGCGGCGTCGCCCTGCTCGCGGCGTCGTCACCTGCTCGCCGCGTCGCCCTGCCCGCGGCGTCGTCACCTGCCCGCCGCGTCGCCCTGCCCTCGGCGTCGCCACCTGCCCGCCGCGTCGCCCTGCTCGCCGCGTCGCCCTGACCTAATCCGCGCCTGGCCTCTGGAGTAGCCGCCCCTGCAGCAGCCGCCCCTGGCCACTGGAGCAGCCGCCACTGCAGGAGCCGCCCCTCGCCCCTGGAGCAGCCGCCCCTGCAGCAGCCGCCCCTGGCCCTTGGAGCAACCACCGCTGCAGCAGCCACCCCTGGCCCTTGGAGCAGCCGCCACTGCAGCAGCCGCCCCTGGCACCTGGAGCAGCTGCCGTCGCGGCCCGGCCTCGCCCTGCAGCAGCTGCCGCGGAGCTCCCTGCTGCGGCCCGGCCCCGCCCTGCAGTTGTAGCGGCCCCGCTGTCGCCACCGTCTTGCGCCTGCCGCGCCGACCACTGGTGAGCATTGCCCTGCCAGCACTGCTACCGCTGCTACTGCTGCTACTGCCTTTTCTACTCCCACTGCTACTGCTCCTGCTGTTACTGCTGTTACTGCCGCTACTGCTGCTACTGCTGCTCCTGGCGTGGCCAGATGCAGCTCCAGGGCCGTGCGCGTGAGTCCCTCACGCCCCAGCAGCTTCGTGAGTGGTACGCTAGTTGGGGCTGTCGGGGTGGCCGTAGTGGTAGTCGCTCTGGAGTGGGTCGGTCGGGAGCTTCTGGTAGTGGACAGGTGCAGCTGCCGTGTCCTCTTTCGCCCCAGCAGCTTCGTGCGTGGTACGCTAGTTGGGGCTGTCGGGGTGGCCGTAGTGGTAGTTGCTCTGGAGTGGGTCGGTTGGGAGCTTCTGGTAGTGGACAGGTGCAGCTGCCGTGTCCTCTCTCGCCCCAGCAGCTTCGTGAGTGGTACGCCAGTTGGGGCTGTCGGGGTGGCCGTAGTGGCAGTCGCTCTGGAGTGCGTCGTTCGGGAGCTTCTGGTAGTGGACAGGTGCAGCTGCCGTGTCCTGTGAGTGAGGCTGCCGCTCTAGGTGCTAGTGCGTCTGTTGCCCTAGGTGCTGGTGAGGCTACCACTCCCGGTACTCGCGTGTCTGCTACCCCAGGTGCTGGTGAGGCTGCTGCTCTAGGTGCTAGTGAGTCTGCGCCCCCTGGTACTGAGTCGACTGAGGCACTGCACACCTTCACTCTGGACTCAGGTGCTTCTCGCTGTTTCTTTCGTGACCGCACT